GTGTTTGGGATTAGAGAGATAATCACGTTTGAAGTTGGCGGTCTGAAGTTGATTTTGTTGTACGAGTTCCTTGAGCAGCATTCAATTGTCAAGCCACGACTTTTTACTCGTAGATTCATTTCAGGTAATTCTTGAAGCTTTGAAATCTAAACGAAATTCCCTTCATTTTGATGTATAATTTCGTAATCATAACCTCTGTATTGAAGGAGAAAAGTGTGTTTGAAGGTTGGAGTTCTAAGCTGAAAATGGGTCAAAGTGTGGCTACGGATTCGATGATCATGAAGGTAGTGTTTGGGCCAAAGAGAACCTTGAGAGCCCCATTATCACCCTCTTAACCTCTAGTAATCTAATGTGAGTTTCATAGTTAGAACTTGGATAGAAATTTGGGTTTTGTGAAATGGACATGTTTGGGAGCAAGGGTTAGAATGAGTAATTGCTAATGTATGTTGATTTTATTGATGAATGACATGTTACTAATATAAAATTTATGTTTATGTACTGATGGATATCTGGATTGGGAAGAGGGAATGATGTTTGGGGACCTCAAGAAAGAGTTGTTAGAACTCTAGTTTTTCTGCATTTCGCAGACCAAGCTTAGCACGCGGGATCGCGCTTAGCGCGCCCCTCTGATGGTTGGTTTTGGGAAGTTTGCAGACCGTGCTTAGCGCGCGAGGCCGCGCTCAGCACGCCCTACTGGGAGTTGGATTTTTGAGAAATTAAAAACCGAGCTTAGCGTGCCTTACTGAAGCTTGAAAAATTAGAGTGCGCTTAGCGTGGGAGGCTCCGCTTAGTGTGTCCTCCTGGATAGAACTGAATTATTTTAAATCCCCTTGAGTGTAGTCTCGTATTATGGTAGGTATTTGAACGCCTCTTACCTAGCGATAAATTATCTCTTATGGCATGAGTGTATATGCATGAATATATTAAATTTACATTATATGATAAAATGCTAAAACATGATTTATTGTATGTGTTATGCAATATGTGGTATCGTATGAGATATTTGTGATTGTCCGTCATTCCGGTTGAATGTTCGAATGGAATGTTATATGTGTTACGAAATATGTGATATCATATGAGATAATTGTGATTGTCCGCCGTTCCGGTTGAACATTTGGTGTTATGATTTTGATGTATGCTTGAATCGGAGTAGGCCTGGATACTAGGACGTAAATCACTCATGACTTAGACCTTGTGTGCCATTTATATCATTATGATGTGCTTGTATAGGTCCTTGTGCGACGTTCCACCAGCAGTTAATTGCATTTGCATGCTCGGTATGTCATACACATTAGTTACCATTGTGATGTGCTTGTGTGGATCCTTGTGCAGCATTCCACCAGCAGTTAATTGCATCGTGTGCTTGGTATGGTGGGGTTATGATGCCACTTATGAAATATCATAACACGAATAAACTCACCTCTAATGGTGCCATATAGGCAAGATCATTAGGTTGTTTGTCCGGTGGACTCGTGTTGTCGAAATGGCGTTTTTGCACTGGCAGTTAAGTATATGCGTTTGGATGATGGATAAGTTGTGATGCCTTATCAGCGATGTCACTCTTGGACTTATCACAGATAGAATTCCACTTAGGAATGATCCAGATCATCTTGCTATGACTGAGGCAAGTCTTTGATACGATGCACGGGTGGAACTCACCGAGGGTGTGAAAGTGTAACCTGAGTATGGGCAAGTAAACTTACTCCTGGATTCCTCGTACACGGGTACGGGTCTGCATACTTGGTTGCTTTTGATTATGAGTTTGTTTTTGTCTCATTGGGAAGTTATGGTACTTTTAATGATGGTGTACCGTTGTTGTGTACTTGTACCCAGCCGTGAGAGAAAACCTGGATTGACGGTGAATCTGTTTTAATGTATGTACCCTATAAAATTGAGTGAATCTGTAAGATAGGGGAACTCACTTAGATTTAGTAATCTCACCTCAATCCTCTTATTATTTTTAGGAACAGATTAAAAGATAGAATTGCTAGATGGACAGTTTTGAAGACTGTAGACGAGCAGATGGCAAGAAGACCGTGTAGAAGTTATCATTCTGCTGTGCAATGTTGAAGACAAGATTATTGTATATGTTCGGTTTTAGAATTGTGTTGTATACAGTTTAAAATTCTTTGTACCATAATTAACATCGCTGCATATTATTCTAGACATATATGTACAAGGTGTTACAGGTGTGGATTTGAAGGAATAAAGAGAAGCATGATGAAGGGTTTGTGAGATCCTGTAAGTAGGAGGTTTTGGTTAGGCAGATGCTTGAGTATCTTCTACTAGAAGAAACCATCATTCAACCAAAGGAACTTGTTTCTCAGGTGGTGATTCAGGTTGGTTGGAAGGCTCCTAGAGAGGGGTGGGTCCGCCTGAATGTTTATGGGGCGTGTAGTAATGGCTTGATTAGTTATGGTGGGATTATTCGGGAAAGTGATGAGGAATGGTTAGGAGGTTTCTCTAAGATTATTGGAAAAGGGGATGGTTTTATGGCGAAGTTGTGGGGTGTCAGAAGGTATCAATTTGGCTTGGGACATGAATTTTGCTAAGGTGGAGATTCAGGTGGATTCCAAAGGAGTGATATAGGTTATTACTAGTAAGAAGAATAATTATGTTGAGATGTCTATATCTGAAGAGATTTGGAGACTTTTAGACATAGATTAGAAAATGGTGTTTAACCATTCGTATCGAGAAGCGAATAGGCTAACAGATACTCTGGCAAAACACAGTTTTTCGTTAGATGATATGTGTACTTTCTTTACTTCTTGTTCAAAAGCTTTTACTCGTATTCTAGATGCAGATGATTGGAGTTTTGTTACTCCTAAAGTTATTGTTGTGTAATCTTTTTTTTTCTCTGCCCTTTAAACCCTCTTTCAATAAATAAAAATTCACTATCAATTAATGAAGAATGTATACTCTATTAAATTACTTTTTTATTTTTAAAATATTAATATGACACAGCTAAATGATAAAATTATATTAAATAATTATTTCACATCGACGGTATACCACCTTTAACCCTTTTGTTATTTCAGTCAATTTACGTTTTTAGTGAATCTCTTATAAAATTATATTTCATATTGCCAATGCTATACCATTTTAAAAAAAAAAAAAACTTATACTCTAACTTTATTTAAAGACCACCATAAACGATAAGAATAAGGGTGTTGTACTAGCCATTCAACTAATCCAAATCCTTTTGATTAATTTTAAATACTATTTTAGAACAAATATTACTTTTTTTTTAAGGCAACAACTATTACCTAATGCATTTCTCTTATAAAAATATCATATTTAGGTTTTATGAGGTTTTAAATATAAAAAAATCAGGTGTATTGATTTTATTGATAAAACGAATTTTCATGTAACAAAATATTTTAGAGTTTAGTCCAACAACAAAACATTCTTATTGATTTGTAATATAATTAGATGAACTAAAGTATAATAAATAATAATATATTAGTGAAAGAAATTAATTAATACTTTATTGATATTTTTAAGTGACAATTATTTTAAAACTGAAAATATTATAAATGAGATCGGGGAGACTATGTGAATTATTTTAATTTTTCAAATGAATTCTCATTTTTCAATTATTAATAATTTAATCATAGTTTAGTATCTGTAGTTTTATATATTTAAGGTCTTTTATTGTTAATTAAATTTCCACCATTTTTATTCATTTATATTTGTACACATTTTCAACTTTGATCCATTTAAAAAAGAAAAAAAACTATTTCCATTTCAATCCACCATTTTTTAACAATGTTATGATCTATCATATTTGCTGATCTCCATTGAAGAGTTTAACTAATTATATTTAAAAAATAGACAAGTTATAAGAGAAGGTAAGCTATAAAAAAATAGTTCATATTATATATCTTTTAGTTTGCAAGTATTTCAATAATTCGATGTCGTCTAGCGGTTAGAATATCTGGCTTTCACTGTCTGAGTTCGAAATTCAGCATCGAGAACTTTTTAATTTTTCCAATGTTTTTATAACTGAGACAGAGCTACGAGAAAAAAGAGTGATTACTTATTACTATTTTAGAGCAACTATTATATCAAGTATCAATTATTTATATTTTATAAATGAAAATTCATTCTTCAACTAATATGTTAATCGCATCTAATTATACTCTAATTAAATATATTTAAGTTCTCAATTGTTAATTAAATTTACACCATTTTGTAACACTCAAAAATAGATCTTATCAATATTTGAAAAACATATCCAACTCTAATTTTACTCATTAAATATATAGATCAATCAATATTAAAGTAAATAATTAAATATATAATTAAATATAATCATTCAATATTAATATTAGAAACTAAAGTAATAACAAATAATTAATATAAAGATCAAATTAATAGTAAGTAGTGTAATATAAAGACTTAATACTAATTAAATATAGAAATCAACTTGACAACATTTTAATATAGTCAAATATTTTCTAAAATATTCATAATTGACTTTCACTTGCATTACATTTAATTTGTATACACATGATTGATATTCACTCGCATAACATTTTTATGTAACACATAAAAACATTAATTAAATTAAGGGGTAGGTGGATGGGGCCTGGAGTATATATCAAACATTTCCAATAAAAAACAAAGTTGAAAAATCATTAACACCAACAGTTGCAAAGCAAAATCCTGAACATTTTAGATAACTTAAAAGGTTCTTGTGCTCTTAAAGATACATGTTAATGAATTCAATGTAAAAATATATGTCTTCTAAATCGGGCATTCAACTTTATAGAATTCAAAATATTGTTTTTCAATAATAAATTTTCATCTTTAAATTTAATTTGTTCCACAAAATTGAACAAATCTAACCAGCCTAGTAACTTGCTCACAAAGTAACCTCCAAGCACATCCAATTGTTAAACACGAACTCCTACTCAAACTTTTACCACCTTCATCACCATGTATCCCGATATTAGTTTTGATACCTCGACATACACCTCGTATTTAATCCATCTAAATCACAACCCGTCATCTTGAATTTCGTTTTTTGAACGCTTATTTGTTTTCTTGGATGCCGACTTGCTTCCTTTGGATTTTTTGTGTTCTTCACTATCCTTAGCTCTTTTCTTTTTTTCACTACCAGCTATCACACTTTCTTTATTTCTAGAAGATTTTTTTCTTTTCAAAGGTGTTGCTCCAATTTCCTCGTCATCTGTGATCTCTTTCACAGGTTGTTCTTTGCTTGGTAGCGAATCCGCTTCTTTAGGAATATCTGAGTAAATAAAATTAGAGGTGCAGAATAAGTTGCTGTACTGGATTTTAATAACCAATCCCTTCTTCATTTTCCTTTTCATAATTGAGAATACTGATTACAAAATATACTACATTAAAGAAACAAGAAAAATACTAACCTTCAACAATGAAATTTGAGTCAAAAACAACATGCAGTATATGCTGCTTAAGGAAAACCTGCAACCAGTCAAAATATATACTATCATTTATTCTGACTAAAATACAATAACACTGGAATATTTTTAAAAATGACTTGCAACACATAAGCATATTACTAAAGCACAAAAAAGAACAGGTTTATTCACAACATACTGTCTTTTCTTAGCATCACAAATAACAAGTATTTTCAATATGGAATAAATGCACCAGTGCAGAAAAATATCTATCTACAAACATAGGTTAAATCCACACAAGTTAAGGGGCTTTAGCTCATGGTATATATATTTATCTGATATTCAAATAAGCCCGATAGGTTAGAATGGTCAAATATCATTAATTTCTTTAAGTTAACAGTACCATACAGATCACAACAACATGAACTATATAGCATACTGAAAGGGAGAAAGAAAAAGAATATGAAACCTACCGAAGAAAGAAGCTGCCTTGTCTTTGTATCCCAAAGTCGTAAATAGCCGTCCAGTCCTAGAAAAATATAATTAATCAGATTAAGAAATGACATTATTTTATCTAGAAAAAATACAGTGAGCCAGTAACTACATGTCCTATACTATTTTATGAGCTACAAGAGAAATCATGCAGATAATAAATAATTTACAAAGAACTATTTAAAGTTGTCATCGAGACTTCATCAGAGAACTGTCTGTATAACTTAGAAGATTAGCATCACACTGAGGGAAAGAGTCAAAAGACAGACTAATGCTCACCACATGAAGCTACCACGGGTAGCTCCGGGTGCCTGACAATGGATTTGATGCTTCCAGAGCATTTTCCGGTAAAACATCCTAGCATTTTCCCTGTATTTATTAAAATAATATCAAAACTAAGTCATTCAAAAAGGTCAATTTAGAGACAATAGAAACAAATGAAATAAATAAAGTTCACATGACAATCTATTTCTAAATAATTTGAGAACATGAAAGAAAAAGCCACGAGGGGTCTCATCTTTACTATAAATACCCAAATATTTGTATTTTGAGGGAACTAAGCCAGATCCAACTTATGTTGCCAAATAAAAGCTAATTTATAACGTTGTCTAAAATAAAACTATTTTATAGAATATATATATCAAACAAGCAGCAAGTATATAGTTCAAAATTATTGGTCAAAAATGGAAAATGAAGAATAGCAGAGTAATACAGTATACTGGATAATACAGAGGTTAAAAACAATGCTGTAATCACTCCCTAAATTTATGAAACATTTACAGAATATTAGGGGATACCTGTACGTATATCAACAGAAGCCATGTCACCAAACCCATTCCCTAAATAGATTGTGTTACCATCTATATCCTCAGCCAGTGCTTTAATTGGTGTCTCGCGAAAATCAATAGAGAGAACAGGCCTCCTCTGAGCAGATATGTCATATAGGCGAACCTGTTCAAAGGACCAACATTTGTAAATAGAAGAGTAATTAGAAAATGTATGAGTAGGATACAAGACAAAAATTAACAAAAGGAATGACTAATTTTTTTCTTTCTGAATTAAAATTTTAAGTAAACAACAGCACATACACAGTTTGAAACCATATTATGCACATTATCCTCATCTTTTTTAATAAAATGGAAATATCTCATGCAACTTTATGGTCAAACTATATAATTCTGTTTAAATGGATATATGTTTCCCTTCCCTCTTGATAAAATATAATTTATTTTTCTCAGCAATTCCAGATTGAAAGTGATTATAATCCTTGTCAAGAGTCTCTAGGACTATCACACCCTCTAATAAACTTGTTGAAGGATATCTATCAACATCAAAGAGGAGTATTGCATATTATCATACACCAAAGATCTCTTTCTTCATTTAGTATAGAGTAGAATTTAAGAAGAATTCCCTGATTAAAACTACCTGATGGTTATTGGTGCCAGCAACAAATTTCCGATGGTCATCTTTACTTAGATATGAAACAGATGTGAACCAGGTAGGTGTAAATATACCAAGGCTGTTTTTAGGAGGCTGCATAGGTCAAAAGAATTGGTAAAATGATGTTTAATGAAAACAAAAACTGTGTTCTTGCGAAAGATAAATTGAAGAGAAAATTAGTGGTTAATAAAAAAATATGAAATGAAGGGGGTTGAAGCCATGGCTCACAGATTTCGCATTCCAGATCTTTGTGTAGTTATCAAGATCCCAAATATTGACTTCAACTCCCTTCCTACAAACAATTATTCATTATTTCTTAGTGTCAGGTAAACATATGTATAAATAATAATAACTATAGCTACAAGGTGTTGCCTTGTTTAGATTCTCAAAGGTTTGCGGTAAAGGGTGTCTACTTGTATTCTGTTTATATACTTGAAATATGCTTTTGTGATTGTTACATAATCTAGCTAATTCACGATATATGAAGAGATACAAAAAAACCAACACTAAGATATAATCTATGATATTCTTAAACTCATAATTATTATGATACACTTTTGTAAAAAGCCTATCCTAAATGCTACTTGTAACTTAAGAATCCATCAAATGATCAAAGCTAAAACAATCAAACTCTGTTTTTCATTCAGCCTACTACAGAGGCAGCAAGGCTCTATTTCTGAATACAACAAGCTCCAATTCTAATGAGTATATGTCTTTACAGTTTGATTGAAGTGTTATCTGTTACAAGGGTATACTCTAATCCTTTTACATGTAGTTATAAGGATGCACTACAAAGGCTTTGATGTATGGCAGCACAAGCTAAACAGCTATAACTTGATGACAGAATTATGAACAAGTTTGTATCCCTGCATTTATTGTGGGAAAAAATGGTCCTTTTAAAATGATACATTTCAGTGCTAATCATTATTTTTGACAGGTCAAGTTTCAGTGCTAATCATTATTTTTGAATTTTGACGGATTACATTTCAACGCTAATTCATCTCAGTACTGCAGTTGAATGTCCTTTACTCTTTTGTTCATTTTTTTCACCTCAAAATGCAAAATTATTCAAACAGTTCAATAGTCGTGTGGATTCAATATAACTTTGAAGTTACTATATGTTATGCAAACTGTTAAAACTAACCCTCCAAATAACGCAAACTTCTCATTTCCGTCCACCTTGCAACACAAAACATTACCACTGTTGCATACATTCCAAGTTTTGGAAGAATTAGTGCTGGAAGATTCTGTCTCTGAATCAGGAACTTCAATAGACCTTATGCTTGCATTCCCTTTGCTCGTGCATGTAAGTAAATTATAAGCCCTAAATAACATAATAATGAACACATTTGAGTGATGTTGGAAGTAAACAAATACAAAATCACAAACACACGCACAGACACACATATATACATACATAAATACATACATAAATACATACATAAGTACAAACACACAAGTGTATAACACGAGTAATTAATACATCTTAAGCATGAGAACAAGTGCATGCACAAGGACAAACACATGCAAGATTAAAGTGTTTTAAACATGAGAACCAACTTACTAACTTCCCTATTTGGTTTTGTCCCGGTGTTGGTGGTTTCAACTTTTTGTTGCCTATTATTACTCTTTAATCATCATTCTTAATCACGCATATTACATATAAACAAAAGAAAAACTATATACAGCACCAAGAAACTCACGCCTCGTATATATAATAAAAACATAAGAAAAAATTCTGATACAATTGCAATCAGACATAGAGTAATTGATCCCACAAGCATCAAAACACACACAAACTCTCTAGCTAGTCATGATCACTGCAATGCACGATATGGGTCAGATAGATTTTCCTATTCCATTATATATAGTATTTTTCTCTTAGTCTAATTACCAGAACTTGCATTTCAAGGTGAATAAGTTTGAATTTGTGCGGATGTCCCGGCAACTACCGATTGAGTTGGATTAACAAGACATTATATAATAGTTTAATTACTTTGATTAGTGCATGGAATTAGGAACGGAAAAAAAAGTACTAGTTATAATTTATATCATATGTATATTATAAATGGAGAGAGCGTGGTTGATCAAAAAAGGTTCCACAAACTTTGTTCCGTAGTGTAATATTCATCTGAGCAATCAGAGGGTGGTGGATTCATTCTGGGAGGTGAAAGCATCATTCCCTCAGCCATTGCTACCATCAAACTTCGCATGGAGAATATAGCTTCTTCATCAAGAAACTGATCAGTTTGATACGAAGGATTAGCTTCAAAACCACCATTATTGCTGGATTCAGCATTCATGAATTCAGCTGCAGCAATGGCAGCGTTACGTATGTTATCGGTAGAATTGGAAGCCAGGACTGGATACATGCAAGCTCTGTCAGGAAAGTTTAGCACTTTGTCCCTACCTTGGAGAGCCAAAGCCGCAACATCATATGCCGCGGCTGCCATCTCTGGGGTGGGGAATGTACCTAGCCATATGTGGTTAGTCTTGCGAGGCTTGCGGATTTCAGTCACCCATTTTCCTCCCCGGCTTCGAATTCCGTGGTATGTTGGGTGTCTTTTGGAAGTAGAAGAAGACATAGTTGTTTGAAATAATGAAAACTTGTAGCAAAAAGAGTTAACTATATTGATTTATCTAAGAAGGATGGAAATGATTGGATGAATTAAGAAGAAGAGAATGGTTTGAATAGTGAAGATAGTTAGAGTAGAAATTCAACTACGGTAACTGCTCCATTGAGCAAAAAGTCAAAATACAATAACAATAAGAATGAAAAACAATCTTAAACTGTCAAAGAGCTACAGTTTACATACCTGGAATCGATCTCAGTATTTTGTTTTCCAAATAGATGCAAACCAATAAGATTATTCTCTTCAGATTGAAGATCTAAATCACCGGCCTTTGAAATTGTAGCTTGAGAAACTCCAGTGACAGGACTCAAAACCTCAATCTGCAGTTTTTTTTTAGCGATTTCCTTTATCTTTAATAACAAAATATTGAAAACAAATCCCATTCAAGAGCCAACTATATAGAACCGCGAAGTAGCTTACCTGGCCATTTTTCCTCGCTACAGCTAATAACTGAAATAACAGAAAAACATATGGAAATAATAAGAACCCTAAATTCATTGCACAAATTAGTATTAGAGAATCATCAAAAGTGCAACCCCAGAAACGTTACCGGGTTGGAACTGCGGTCAATAATTGAAACAGCGTTAACAGACTTGGAAGCATCAGGTTCACCCCATCGCTCTACGACCTTGAGACCTCCTTGATTTTCACGGGATTCGAGAACTAACAACGCAAATCATGAAAATCAGTAAGATACGAATAAACAGAGTATAAGAAATAGAGTATGGAAAAAAAAGGAGAGGAAGAACCTTTGATAAGACCGAGTGTGTCGAAGGTTAAAGCACGGAGGGGAGGGCAACCAGGGCACTCCAGAGTAGTGGCGCGTGGCATTTACACGGCCAGAAAATGAAACGGCGGTGGAGAAAGTTAGGGAAGAAGAATTAGAAACAGGTGACGCCGAAAAACAAAACCTATGTTCTCTCATCGTTCTCCTTCTTTTATTCTAAATAAATAAGTAAAAAGTAAAAACTATATTGAGTTTTTATTTTTATTTTTATGACAAAACAATAATAATTAAAATTCTATTTGGCTATTTCTTTTTAGCAATAATAAGGAATTGAAAAAAAATATATATAATAATTATATTAAGAAAAATTACGTAAATAATTATGTTTTAGAAAATACTTAAATAAATGAATAAAGTGAGATGACGTATCTTCTTTAATTTTATATGGAGGCGCTAAGTGAGATGGCGCATAGGTGCAACGTATTTGCCTTAAATCATCTCAGATAACGTCTAAGTGCTTTTAACTCTCAATTTTTTTTGTTTTCTATTTTAAATAAGAGACAATAAGTAAACGATATAGCTTAATGAAATTTTGATTTTTCATTATCAAATGAACGATTACATAATGGGAAAAAACCATGCATATTATTTAGTTGTCCCTCAGAACTCGGTAATGATCTGTGGTTCCCCACCCGCGTCTCCGCCTGTCTCGTGGTGGGTTTCGTCGATTTTTCTACTGCAGTTGGATCAATGGCACAGCGAAGTCAATGCGTTCAGGATCTATGAAATCTGTTAGATCACCATATCTGGAAGATCTACTTTGGTACAGTCGATTACCTATGCCCTCAAAATTTGGTCGTCTTTGTGGGGGGTGGGGTTCCATGGATGGCCTATAGCATTGATCGTCTGAGTAAGGGGGTGAAAAGGAAATTAATATTGGGGTGTTTGATATTGCGATTGTTGGGTGCTATGGTGATGTGATGGTTGATGGTAAGTTGGATTGGTTGGGTCATATTCTTCAAGAAAGCCTAGATCTGGGCTAAGGTGAGATGATGATGGACCCACATCGGGATGTTCAGAAGACCAGAACTATGTGTGGGGCATGTGGGTGTATTGGTATTGAGATTGGGATTAGGGTTAGGTGTCGGGCGTATAGGTGTATTGGTATTGAGGTGGTGATTGTGGTTAGGTGTTTGTAGATTTGTATCGTCATGGTGTTTAGTGGAAGATTGACGTGCGTTGGGTTTGTTGTTGGGGATTTGAGGTTTGTGTCCATTATATTCGTGGGTCGATCAAATACCTCGGGTGAGACACATGCATTTCTGGGTTAGTAACTGATTTGTATCAATCAAAATATTAATTTGTGTGTCGCATATTATTTTGGTTGAGGAAAACAGGAAATTGTAAGACATGTTGGTGACGTCTATGCCACATCTTACACCATTCTGGAGAAAAATCTTTCCAATTAGTAAGACTTTATTGGGCATCAACCCTTTTGAGATGATATGGTGACAAACAATTTGGATCGCATGATATCTCTTGATGCATTCCGAACTGCATCTTGACACGGTCGCTGTGGTGCATCTCCACAATATTGAACCGTATGATTGAAGTCTTTGCAGTCCAAATTGTTGCATCCTCGGGATTGGGTTCATGGTCCAAACCCAAATATGGTCTCTAGATAAATTATGGATAAAAATTAATAAGCATAATGAATAAAAAATAAACAATTTAAAAGTAGAAAAGTCAAAGGTACCACGTACATCATCCAGACTAAGATGATCCAATAGATTACGGTATAGAGTGACATTGAATCTTGGATTCTTGTTGTAATCCATACTCGTTACACAATACCTAAAGGAATGAAAAAATAGTTAATTTTATACATTTATTTGGCGAAAGGATGAATAATAAATTATTTAAGTTCTTGACTTACTTTGTTGCGTATGGGAAAATGAATGCATTGTTGTTGACGGGGTTTAGGGACTCCATTCTCCACCAACCCCATGTTTGGAGTAAGAAAGCGCATCCATAAAAAGTATATTTGTCTTTTGTTGCGTTTTTACACAAAGAACTGTATAGATGGGCTAAAATAGCAGAACCCCGACTATACTTTCTTGTTTTTTCAAAGTTTCTAAGCAAACTTAAATACATAAAATTTACACTATTCTCTGTACTTTTGGGAAATAACAAGCTTCCAAATAGTATCATCATATAATTTCTAGCTTTAATTATTCTTGCTAGCTCTGACGAATTTTCATTCAACTCGAGAGTCACATATAATGTATTTTAAGTTCAATTAGTAATATACCTTGGCCCCTAGCACCACTACCTTCTACCATATCTTTGTCCAACAATTCCTTGCATATAGAATTGGGTTGTTGAACTGACCCATTCACTGCATTACCATTGATAGGGAGACCCAATAACATGTACTTGTCCTCTAGTGTGATAGTACATTCACTTATTGGTAGATGAAATGTGTGTGTCTTGGGTCTCCATCTTTCCAACATTGCAAGTATAAACTTGGAATCAATCGTGCAGTTTGAGATTCTTATAACATTTCCAAAACTGACATATTCGAGATAGGGCACAATCAACGAGTCGGGAGTAATGTAGTTGTGTGAGCGAATTCTAAATCTTTTAGTATCCTAAATTCAAATTGTAAATAATGTATGAGTCCATAAGATGACTAATTTAATAATAATTTTATAAAAAATATATTAATATAAAAGAATATTTAAGAGTTTAAAGAAACTTACAAACGCCACAATGTTGTCTCTCGTGCCTCTGTGAGAATCTCCCGTTGTGAGAAGAACCATATGTGAAATTGTATAAGACAATGAAAGTGTTTGTATTAGAGAGTTTGATGATTGGTGATGCAAAACAACTGTCTCAAGCGCCATATTTATAGGTGAATCCATATAAGAGTGAATTAATGAGGTGGTTGGTGGTTGCATCTATGCAGGATACGTGTCATATTGGAGCCAAGTCAAATGGCACTTACATGCATTTTAGAGAGCATGCGCCAGTCAGCTTGGCGTGGGATATGCCTACATATAGAGTAGGTGGCAGCATAGGTGCAGTGTAAGATGGCAGTATAGGGACAGTCTTATACGCATGCATGTAAGGTGACATGACATGTAGGGATGCGCCATCCCAGATGGCACATAAGACTAAAATTAATAGATTTTGCCATCTCAATTGGAGAATTAGTGGTAGAGCATTTTTGTCTTGTTCAAGGCAAATGAAACTTATTTATCCTACATGTATCTAATGTTATCAACACTCAAACATTCAAACCTCAAACATTCAAACACCAAACATTCAAACACCAAACACAATATCCTCTACACCATAATACGTTATCAGCGCACATTTCAACGGTGAGACGTACATTTGTCCCACCTCTGGTTTTTTATTTAGAGACACTGATAATATCTTATTTTGTTTAAATAGAAAAGCCAATTTCTTGCATTTCAAAAAACGATTAGAGGTTAAACTTGGACGGGTTCAGTGTCACACATCTTCTATCGAAATCCAGTTTTTTTATGAGAACCAAATAATATTTTATAAGGTAGAGGTTCAAGATGACGAGGACCTTCAAAATATGTTTTCTAGTCATGAGTAATCTGGGTACGACTCAATTGAGTTGTACATTGTGCTTCAAGAGGCTTATTTGTCACAACCAACTCAGTCACAAGTGGTTGATCCCGTCAAAGGCGAACAAGTAGAATTAGATGTCATTGACGAAGAAGAGGAAGATGAAGAGTTAGAGTTTGACAACATGGTCAACGATGATTCTGAAGATGATGTGCTACTTGAAATACCTCCAAATGAAATCTACACACCACCTTCACACATGAAAAATTTTAACATGGGCGAAGCTGAACCATCATCAGATGTTTTTTCAACCCGTATATGCAGTCAAATGAAAATTTAAAAGAGAAGGACAAATTTCGTTCAAGAGAAGATTGCATGCGAGTTATAAAAAAGTTTCACATGTTAAACTCTGTCAATTTTAAGGTAGATCGGGTAAATCCAGAAAGGTACAAGCTCAAGTGTGTTCACCCAGATTATATGTTCAGGCTCACTGCATCATACAGGTTGAGAGGTGATTGTTGGAAGATAGGTTTTATGTCCACCCACACGTGCGTTAGTTCTACTCAATCACAAGATCATCGTAAACTAAATTATGATCTAATATGTCAAGAAATCTTACCTCTCGTCAAAAATGATTTGTCATTGAAGGTGAAAACCATAATCTCTCACATCACTACAGTATACAATTATACTCCGTCATACAGAAAGACGTGGTTATCAAAGACCAAGGCGATTGAAAAGGTATATGGAAACTGGGAGGAGTCATATAAAGAACTACCGCGCTACCTGCATGCACTTCCGACGTATTCTCCTATAACTGTTTATATTAAGGAAACATTGCTGACGTATGCCCCAGATGGTACTTCTGTCAATGGAAATGGAATATTCAGTCGACTATTCTGGGCTTTTCAACCTTGTGATGCGGTGTATTCGCAAGTGTACGAATCATGTCAGAGTAATATAAAAGATCATCGATCCACGAAGACCAATCGTCAATCTTTCGTTTCTTATTGTTACGATGTTTAGCTAAGTCAATATTAAACATGGAATTGAGCATGCAAGAAAGTAAATTACGGAGAAATAAACTTCAGATATAAAAGCAGAGTCGAATATAATTCACATAGTCAGATGATATTCGCAATGCTTCGAAATAGAACTACTTATATGGCAATATTTTCTACTAAAGAAAAGAACTAATTTAACAGGAATTGTCGCTTTTGTGTAATCAGAACCGAGTTTACTCTCTAACCAGACCTTCTTATCATTACTTATAAAAAGGCGCGCATTGCGTTAAAGTAATAAACCTATTTTTAAGAAATAAAGTACTTGACCAAGTTGAAAAGTATTTTGATCTGGAATTTCTAATAAAAAGGGGACCTAACTTTAACCCTATAAACGCGTCCGAAAATAGTTTCAAAATTGATTTCTTTGATAATAAAAATCCCTAACTAACCGGACAAAGCTCTTTCACTTCCTTTGACCAGTTAGAACTAACCGAGTT